GAGAGAAGGAGAGAGAGAGAGAAGCAGAGAGAGGGAGCAGAGAGAGAAGCAGAGAGAGAAGCAGATGGATAGAGCAGAGAGAGAAGCAGAGAGAGAGGCAGACAGAGATAAGCAGAGAGAGAGAAGGAGAGAGAGAGAGAGAGAAGCAGAGAGAGGGAGCAGAGAGAGAAGCAGAGAGAGAAGCAGATGGATAGAGCAGAGAGAGAAGCAGAGAGAGAGAGGAGCAGAAAGAGAGAGAAGCAGAGAGAGAGAGGAGCAGAGAGAGAGAGGAGCAGAGAGAGAGAGGAGCAGAGAGAGAGAAGCAGAAAGAGAGAGGAGCAGAGAGAGAGGAGCAGAGAGAGAGAGGAGCTGAGAGAGAGAAGCAGAGAGAGAGAGAAGCAGAGAAACAGGAGCAGAGAGAGAGAAGCACCTAGATCTTCTTCTCAGATTCTGTGACTGGGCCCTGACAGTAAATCTCAGTAAGAAACTTAATGGTGTTCCAAAAAAGGTCCAGTTGCCAGGATCACCAATACAAATTTCATCTAGACACCATTGTCCTTGAGCACACAAAAATCGATACATACACTTCATATACAAAAGTATGTGGACACAATATTGGTAGTAGAATGGCCTTACAGAAGAGCTCAGTGACTTTCAACGTGGCACTGTCATAGGATGCCACCTTTCCAACAAGTCAGTTCACAACATTTCTAACCCTGCTAGAGCTGCACCTGTCAACTGTAAGTGCTGTTATTGTGAAGTGGAAACGTCTAGGAGCAACAACCGCTCAGCTGCAAAGTGGTAGGCCACACAAGCTCACAGAGCGCGTAAAAATGGAAGCAACGTCAGCACAAGTGCTGTCCGTCGTGAGCTTCATGAAATGCGTTTCCATGGCCGAGCAGCCGCACACCCAGCCTAAGATCACCATGTGCAATGCCAAGTGTCGGCTGGATTGGTGTAAAGCTCGCCGCCATTGGGCTCTGAAGCAGTGGAAACGCGTTCTCTGGAGTGATGAATCACGGTTCACCATCTGGCAGTCCGAAGGACGAATCTGGGTTTGGCGGATGCCAGGAGAACGCTACCTGCCCCAATGCATAGTGCCAACTGTAAAGTTTGGTGGAGGAGGAATAATGGTCTGGGGCTGTTTTTCATGGTTCTGACTAGGCCCCTTAAGATTTCCCTTCAATGGAACTAAGGCTACAGCATACAATGACATTCTAGACGATTCTGTGCTTCCAACTTTGTAGCAACAGTTTGGGGATGGCCATTTCCTGTTTCAGCATGACAATGCCCCCGTGCACAAAGCAAGGTCCACACAGAAAAGAGACGTTCAATTCTACAACCACCTAAAAGGAAGCGATTCCCAAACCTTCCATAACAAAGCCATCACCTACAGAGAGATGAACCTGGAGAGGAGTCCCCTAAGCAAGCTGGTCCTTGGGCTCTGTTCACGAACACAAACAGACCCCACAGAGCCCCAGGACAGCAACAAATTTAGACACAACCAAATCATGAGAGCACAAAAAGATAATTAGTTGACACATTGTAAATAATTAACAACAAAACTGAGCAAACTAGAATGCTATTTGGCCCTAAACAGAGAGTACACAGTGGCAGAATACCTGTCCACTGTGACTAACCCAAAATGAAGGAAAGCTTTGACTTTGTACAGACTCAGTGAGCATAGCCTTGCTATTGAGAAAGGCCGCCGTAGGCACACCAGGCTCTCAAGAGAAGACAGGCTATGTGCACCCTGCCCACAAAATGAGGTGGAAACTGAGCTGTACTTCCTAACCTCCTGCCAAATGTATGACCACATTAGAAACACATATTTCCCTCAGATTACAGAGATCCACAAAAATTTCGAAAACAAACCCAATTTTGATAAACTCCCGTATCTATTGGATGAAATACCACAGTGTGCCATCACAGCAGCAAGATTTGTGACCTGTTGCCACAAGAAAAGGGCAACCAGTGAAGAACAATCACCATTGTAAATACAACACATATTTATGTTTATTTATTTTCCTTTTTGTACTTTAACTATTTGCACATCGTTACAACACTGTATGTGACATAATATGACATTTTAGATGTTTTTATTCTTTTTTTACTTTTGTGAGTGTAATATTTACTGTTCATTTTTTATTGTTCATTTCACTTTAGTTTATTATCTATTTCACTTGCTTTGGCAATGTTAACATATGTTTCCCATGCCAATAAAGCCCTTACATTGAATTGAGAGAGACGGAGAGAAAAGAGTTCTCTACATTTGCTCTCATTAGACTGCCTCGTCTGAACTTTGAATTTCTCTGCTTGATCATAACACTTTACTTGTCCTCAGACCTCCTCAGCTCAGACCTACACAACGTTGTCAGGACATAAATGATGCGAGAGACTGTCATGATAGATGATGTCAGTTGATGACATCACCTGTATACACACAAGCACAAGCACACACACACACGCATGCACACACACACTAAGACGACATCAAATGTACGCACACACACACACACAAAGAAAGATGACATCACCTGTACACACAGCTTCTCATAAGCTTGCAGGAGCTGTCGCGGTAGGTTATAACAGCTGTCATGGTATGTTATAACAGCTGTCATGGTAGGTTAAAACAGCTGTAACGTGGTAGGTTATAACAGCTGTCATGGTAGGTTATAACAGCTGTCGTGGTATGTTATAACAGCTGTCGTGGTAGGTTATAACAGCTGTCGTGGAATGTTATAACAGCTGTCGTGGTAGGTTATAACAGCGGTTGTGGTAGGTTATAACAGCTGTCATGGTAGGTTATAACAGCTGTCGTGGTATGTTATAACAGCTGTCATGGTAGGTTATAACAGCTGTCGTGGTAGGTTATAACAGCTGTCGTGGTAGGTTATAACAGCTGTTGTGGTAGGTTATAACAGCTGTCGTGGTAGGTTATAACAGCTGTCGTGGTAGGTTATAACAGCTGTCATGGTAGGTTATAACAGCTGCCATGGTAGGTTATAACAGCTGTCGTGGAAGATTACAACAGCTGTCGTGGTAGGTTATAACAGCTGTCATGGTAGGTTATAACAGCTGTCATGGTAGGTTATAACAGCTGTCATGGTAGGTTAAAACAGCTGTTGTGGTATGTTATAACAGCTGTCATGGTAGGTTATAACAGCTGTCGTGGTATGTTGTAACAGCTGTCGTGGTAGTTTATAACAGCTGTCGTGGTATGTTATAACAGCTGTCATGGTAAGTTATAACAGCTGCCGTGGTATGTTATAACAGCTGTCATGGTAGGTTATAACAGCTGTCGTGGTAGGCTATAACAGTTGTCGTGGTATGTTATAACAGCTGTCGTGGTAGGTTATAACAGCTGTTGTGGTAGGTTATAACAGCTATCATGGTAGGTTATAACATCTGTCATGGTAGGTTATAACAGCTGTCTTGGTATGTTAGAACAGCTGTCATGGTAGGTTATAACAGCTGTCATGGTAGGTTATAACAGCTGTCGTGGTAGGTTATAACAGCTGTCATGGAAGGTTATAACAGCTGTCATGGTAGGTTATAACAGCTGTCATGGTAGGTTATAACAGCTGTTGTGGTAGGTTATAACATCTGTTGTGGTTATAACACTGTGTTATTGTAGGTCTTTCCACAGAGGTTTCAACTTGTCTTGTGGTTTATCTGTGCTTTGTAGTCCAATGAAATGAGTTCCTGTCCGAAGATGAAGGTGCAGTAGCCAGAGAAAGTGTTACGTGCTAGAATAAGGCCTCGCAAACCAACTGAGACGGTGACTGTGGGTAGGAAAATTAGAAACAATGTTGGCGCCAGGTGATTTGGGCGATCGGGTCATGATGGAATCACCTATTCACCATTTGGTAGGCGTGGTCTTCAAGCTTTGAGGAATGGAGAGTGGAGAAAACATCCAATCACCATTCTAGCTGAGTGAGACCATCAGAACAGAAGACAACAGAGGCCATTTTTCTGTTTTAGCTGTTTATCCCTTTGTCTCTCAACTTTTCCAAGTCTCAAACTCACTGAGGCCCAATCTCCCTGTGAGACACTATAGTGTCTACTATCAATATATGTATTTATCTCAACATTGGGGTTCAATTCTGCTTTTAAAGTCTGTTTATCCTCCTTCACTGGGGTCTTATTTTTCACGAGACAGCGGATTAAGAAGATTATAGGCACAGTTTCAATTTATCTCCAACCCCCAGACTAGCTTTATTGACTGGTTGCTCTTATCACAGTTTGCCAGCAACCACAGCCTGATTGGCATCTGCCTCCATATCTGCCACTCTCTGGATTTGGTTGGTTTCTCTGACATAGCAAGAGAAAAACTGCTTATGCACAACCAAGTTTCGAAATTGCACCTTGTATATTGTACTATTCTAACTCTTAGCAGTAAATTGAGACCCCGACTGAGTTTACTGAAAAAAAAATATATATCTGCGGGGGGGGGGGACAGGGGGCCGCATTTGCCCTCCCTGGAATAGGCCATGGGTAAGTCCCCAATGGGTAAATATCCCTCCCCATCTCTCAGAAATGACAAAGTAATGCTTTTCAACACCATAAAACTAATATTTAAAATGTGAAAAACAAAATCCAAATACCATTCCAAATGAAGTAGATTAATGGAACAATTAATTTGTTTCTGGGAATATAAATATGGTTAAGGGTAGGATAACTTTCAGATATTTGAGCATTTTAGTCATTTAGCAGACGCTCCTATACAGAGCTACTTACAGGAGCAATTAGGTTTAAGTGCCTTGCTCAAGGGCACAGACAGATTTTTCACCTAGTCGGCTCGGGAGTTAGAACCAGCGACCTTTCGGTTACCGGCACAACGCTCTTAACCACTAAGCTACCTGCCGCCCCAAAGCTAACAAAATGTTAAGTCATATAACTGTCTGTGAGACCCAATCAATTCGTGTAGAAAAAAACTCCCAAGTTGATGAAAAGTACTATAAAACCGTGAGACAATAAGATGCTCCTTTCTCAAACCCACAGCGATCTCAGTGGTGGAAATGTTGGACACGGGGAGGGTTGACTTACAGATGACATTGACGCTATGTAGACGAGAACGGGGATTCTGCTCCGTGGAACATCCCTGGCCGCTGAAGTTGGACGGTGCTGCGAGGTGAAGCTGCTGCCTTTTCGTTGTATTGTTTCCCCGCTCTGCTCTCCTCTGCTCGACTCTCTCCTTCAGCATCACAAAGCTAACGGACCGCATCACTCACACCTTGTTCCTGCTTCCTGCAAACGCACCTTTCCCATCAGGATCATAGTTTAGTTCTGCTTCTCTATCTCTATAAATATTTGATTTGGTCTGCCCCGTTAGAAGCGTCAAGAACACAACTTTTAGACGAACGCACGGATACTAGACCATCTCCCACAATTCTGGCTGGCATAGCAGTTTGATTGTAAGTACCGAGTTTACTTTTAACAGGGTGGGAAAACTGCATTGCGATGGTCAGAACATTGGACAGAACACTGTGAACCCGTTTGGTGATGCGGAGTTGCGTCTCGGTGGGGAAAAACGGTGTTTCAGGTGTTGCGCACTGAGTAGCCTAGAAGATTAGCCTACATTGGTTAAATCAATGATATATATATTTTTTAAATCTATGCGACTTTAAGACAGTAATAAACCACATCATTCTACACATGATTCGTTTTTTGAAGGTCCATAATTCATCGAATATCATCTGCAAATGTGAAAGGAAGCGTAGGAGAGAGACTGACGCGTAAAGCTTGTCCCGGGCACTTATCCAGCTCGGTGCTGTCCCTTCCCATAAATGTCAACTAGCTGAGGGGGAAAAACGGGGGATATTTAACCATTATACTACAGTTATAGAGGCACGGTATTATAAAAATAATATGTATAGAAATACCAAAAGCATGACCTTACCTAGCCAATGTATCCACAATACGCACATTGCGTTTTGACTTGTAACAGGAAGGTTTTTTTTTTTTTTTTCCCCGACCAATTTACTGTTGTCTCACATTATTATGAATAATTAAAGGGAAACTATATTCAAAGTATTTAAGCTCGGATAATTAACAGTAATTTATAGAATGCCTACATTTTGTTTATATTCAGGCTTTTCATTTATCCTCAGTTTTTATTTATAACGTTACATTTATTTGGGTGCATACATTCTAAGGCATAGCGTGTGAATGAATGTAATTTCCTTTTTTTTGTCAAATTGATGGTTGCGTTCCGCTGCAATTAACCCTCCAAATGCTGAATAATTGGACAGCGGTGATCGCCCTCTCCTCTTAACAGTATTAAATGACCTGTCGGCTGAATGTGTGCTGTGTAAATGTGTATAAAGGAGACATTGAGAGTAACGACGCTGTAAATCAACGGTCCCTGGCTGTTAAAAAGCACCACAGGGTCCTCGTGTGATCTCTTGTCCCCAGCGCCAACAAAGTGACTCAATGAAAACTCTAAAAAACTGCCAATTTTCAGCCCTATGAATGCATTTGTTTAATTCCCGTTTTAATGCAATATTATGTAAACATTTAGGGTCCTATCATTATTTTAATTTCCTATTTGGTAACATTCTCTTGCTCTTTTTCCCAGGTTCGGTTTCAACTTGCTTGGTGTTCCCGCTCCCCCTCCTGATTTCCTTCACATCGGCTGGGTAACGAACCGCGAAGCTGCTGTCTACGTGGACCGGTGGGGTTAAAATCTTCCGTCCGCCTGCCAGCCTTGCCAGAAAATCTAAATCTAATCAGAGAGACAGAGACATGGCGACGAATGGTACAAGAGCCTCGGATGGACACGTTTTAACGGAGGTGAATGCGGAGCCTAACGACAAACCCAAAACCTTGGTCGTAAAAGTCCAGAAAAAGGAACTTCCCGAAAGAGAAAACTGGACTGGAAAATTTGACTTTCTCCTGTCTTGCGTCGGGTACGCAATTGGACTCGGAAATGTCTGGAGATTTCCTTATCTATGTGGGAAAAACGGAGGAGGTAATCAAGATGTTGGCACATTTCCGTGTTTTCAAAAACAGAAGGAGGCTAAAAACTTGACCCTTCAATCAGCAAATGTGTTCTGGGGCGCTCATTTAAATAATCTCAAGAGCTCTTTTTCTCTCCAGATTGTGCGTAATTATCATTAATTTTAGGCGCAGCAGTGTGATACAAAAATATTGACTTAATCTCTTTATCTCTTTGGATTATTTGAAATGTTCATGGTAATATCAATGCAATGGGTCACTTTTATTCACCATTATATTTTTGTTTGCTTACCTTTCACCTTCCATTCAGGGGCCTTCTTGATTCCCTACTTTTTGACGCTCATATTTGCTGGTATGCCCCTGTTTCTGCTCGAAACGTCCCTCGGTCAGTACACGTCGATTGGAGGGCTTGGGGTGTGGAAACTGGCTCCCATGTTCAAAGGTAAATCAAATCCCTACGTTTAGAGGTTCAGCTCAAATACATCCCAATATATAAGACAAGTAGCTCTCCTCATCCAATAGTATTTTTTTGCTGGTTTTCGATAAATGCACAAAAAATATTTGCATTTCAGTGCATGTCTCCTCTCCCCATAGTATTACAGATCAAACCTTATATTTAATATAACTAGCTAAAGCTATTTTATATATATATGTTTCCAATTATTCAGGGTGGCACACCATTTCATTTGATATTAACTGACAGTATATCCATTCCTAATTCTAAACTTCCCTGCTGTCCTAGGTGTTGGTCTGGCCGCTGCAGTGCTTTCTTTCTGGCTAAACATCTACTATATTGTTATCATTGCCTGGGCCATTTACTATCTGTGGTCCTCCTTGACTACTGTGAGTATGATGGATATTAGTGCTTTTCTATGACAAAGCTAAGTAATAAAAATGAATAATTAATGTGAGGTTATTACATTTAATTTATTGGGGGTTTAAAAAGGAAAGCACATTTCCCTGATTAATGTCTTTAAGTAGCATGACTGTGTGCTGAAAATAAATACTGTTTATTTTATGCATAGTTAATTCAAAGATATCGAATTTGGCCATCAGTACCCCTTCAAAAAAATTTGTTGCATGACGCCTGGGTGAAAGAGAGGCAAAATGACAAGAGAGAGAGAGAGAGAAAAGCAATCTTTGTTATTCCAGGAGCTACCATGGCAATCATGTGGAAATTCTTGGAATACAGAGCAGTGTTACACCAATTACAGCATCCTGTACACTGCCAACCTCACCAGCGCCGTTCAGGAATTCTGGGAGTAAGAACATGTATTTTATTTACATTTTAAAGAGTTTGGTTGTTTTTTGTCTGTGGTTAGAAAATAATGAATGGGGTTGTAGTTGACGAAAAATGATTTATAAATACATTTTATTGATTGGTTTATTGATCGGTTGGTTGGTTGGTTGATTGATTGGTTCATCGGTTGATTTGTCCTATAGACGTAACATGCACCAGTTGACAGATGGTCTGGAGAAGCCTGGGGAGATCAGAGCGCCTCTAGCCATCACGCTGGCCATCGCCTGGGTCCTCGTTTATTTCTGTATCTGGAAAGGTGTCGCCTGGACCGGCAAGGTAAGAGACGTAACATGCACCAGTAGGGGCTAAACCTCACTGAGGAATCTTGACATTGGATTTTCGCAGCACTATTAGGATGTTGGGTGGGGGGGGGGGGGGGGGGGGGGGGGGGGTAATCCAGCATGTCCCCCTGGCTTATTTGCAAAAGTAAGAGGCATGGCTTTAAGATTCAAAATCCATCAAGAAACATTTGACTGGAAAAATGCCAGTTAATCCCGGGTCCTAACTATAATGATGACGTAAGGATGGTGGCATAGTTCCACTGTTAGGATGAAGGCATAGTTCCACTGTAAGGATGGTGGCATAGTTCCACTGTTAGGATGGTGGCATAGTTCCACTGTTAGGATGGTGGCATAGTTCCACTGTTAGGATGGTGGCATAGTTCCACTGTCTTGTATTCTAACGAGTGTCTCCCTCCCTCCCTGTTTCAGGTGGTGTACTTCTCAGCAACGTACCCCTACTTCATGCTCTTCATCCTCTTCTGCCGCGGCATCACTCTCCCCGGAGCCATCGATGGAATCCTCTTCTACATCACGCCCAACTTTGAAAAGCTCAAGGAATCAGAGGTGGCTAGCCTTTTATCAGTGAACAGACACAGAGGGTGAATGGTAGCTGATTGCTGCATGTGATGCTGTGTGTTTTGAGTTGCAGTGTGTTTTGAGTTGCAGTGTGTTTTGAGTTGCAGTGTGTTTTGAGTTGCAGTGTGTTTTGACTCTCTGTCCCTCTGTTCTTGTCAGGTGTGGTTGGACGCTGCCACTCAGATCTTCTTCTCCTATGGGCTGGGGCTGGGATCACTGATCGCTCTGGGAAGCTACAACCCCTTCAATAATAATGTTTACAGGTAGGTTAAAATCTACAACACCATTCAATCCAGCTCTCTACTATCAGTGAGACCGAGAGAGCAGAGAGAGAGAGAGAGAGAGAGGAGGGAGAGAGAGAGAGAGAGGGAAGAGGGAGAGAGCAGAGAGAGAGAGAGAGGAAAGAGAGGGAGAGAGAGAGAGAGGATGTATGAGGAGAGGGAGAGAGAGGGAGAGGAGGGAGGATAAGGGGAGAAGATTTCACTCAGAGTGGAGAGCTAGATTGAGAGAGGAGAGAGGAGTAGAGGGAGTAGAGAGATAGGCGTGATGAGAGGAGACGTTATCGCGAGGAGAGAGCGAGAGTGTCTCTCCTCCTCTTTCTTTGCTATCGAGTAGGGAGGGAGAGAAGGAGAGTATAGAGAGAGGGAGATAGGAGAGAGAGGAGATAGACTTTTGTGAGTGTAATGTTTAGTAATGTTTCACTTGTTTATTTCCCTTATGTTTATTGTCTATTTCATTTACTTTGGCAATGTGAACATATGTTTACCATGCCAATAAAGCCCTTTTTAATTGAATTGAGAGGTGGGAGAGAGAGAGGGGTGGGGGGGGTGGGGGGGGGGGGGGGGTGAGAGCGAGAGGGTGGGGAGAGGGGGGAGGAAGGAATGGGGGTGAGAGAGAGAGAGAGAGAGAGAGGGTGGGGTGAGAGGAGCGGGGGGTGAGAGAGAGAGAGAGGAGAGGAGAGGGGGGTGATGGAGGAGAGCCAAGAGGACAAACACATCTCTCAGCTGTCACATCATCTCTGTCTCTCTCCATTTTCAATCCTGGCAACGAATGAACAAACACCCCATCTCTGAAATGAATGGGTCAATCCATTGACATTGCAGTAAACCACCTCGCCTATAAGAATGCAAAAAATACTACCCCTCCACTCCACCCACCCAACCCACACCCCCCCCCCCTCCCTCCCTCCCTCCCCCTCCCTCCCTCCCCTCCCTCCCTCCCTCCCCTCCCTCCCTCCCTCCCTCCCTCCCTCCCAATTCAAATGTGCTGTGGTTTGATAAGGTTTCCATATCAGTGTGACAACAGCCGTTCCAATCCATGCTTAGTCTTTCTGTCTGTCTCCCTGCAGAGATTCTGTCATTGTGTGCTGCATCAACTCGTTCACCAGCATGTTCGCTGGCTTGGTCATCTTCTCCATTGTGGGCTTCATGGCCAACGTGACTAAGAGACCTATAATAGAAGTAGCAGCCTCAGGTAACTATTGATATAGATCTTAACGGAACACTACAGGACTTAGCCTACTGAGCAAAAAATAAGAGCAAATCTTAGAACAGTAGCACTTACTGTAAAGCAATCGACTTTGAAACACTTTTCTATATGGGTATTTGAACAGGAATGGGATGTTTTGTGTTGCCAGATCCCGCCTCTAACTGTCTGTGTGTGTTGTGTTGTCAGATCCCGTCTCTAACTGTCTGTGTTGTGTTGTCCGATCCCGCCTCTAACTGTCTGTGTGTGTTGTGTTGTCAGATCCCGTCTCTAACTGTCTGTGTTGTGTTGTCAGATCCCGCCTCTAACTGTCTGTGTGTGTTGTGTTGCCAGATCCCGCCTCTAACTGTCTGTGTGTGTTGTGTTGTCAGATCCCGCCTCTAACTGTCTGTGTGTGTTGTGTTGCCAGATCCCGCCTCTAACTGTCTGTGTGTGTTGTGTTGTCAGATCCCGCCTCTAACTGTCTGTGTGTGTTGTGTTGTCAGATCCCGCCTCTAACTGTCTGTGTGTGTTGTGTTGCCAGATCCCGCCTCTAACTGTCTGTGTGTGTTGTGTTGTCAGATCCCGCCTCTAACTGTCTGTGTGTGTTGTGTTGCCAGATCCCGCCTCTAACTGTCTGTGTGTGTTGTGTTGTCAGATCCCGTCTCTAACTGTCTGTGTGTGTTGTGTTGTCAGATCCCATCTATAACTGCCTGTGTGTGTTGTGTTGCCAGATCCCGTCTCTAACTGTCTGTCTGTGTTGTGTTGTCAGATCCCATCTATAACTGCCTGTCTGTGTGTGTTGTGTTGCAGGACCAGGCTTGGCGTTCTTGGCCTACCCCGAGGCAGTAACCCAGCTACCGATCTCTCCTCTCTGGGCCATCCTCTTCTTCTCCATGCTACTGATGCTGGGCATCGACAGTCAGGTGAGGAAACAACAGCCATTTGGAGTTCATGTTTGTGTTGTGTTGTTGTGTTATTTTGTTGTTGTGTTGTTGTTGTATTGTAGTGTACTGTGGAGGTACAGTATTATCTAATGTGTTGTATAGTCGTGTGCCCCCCCCCACACACACACACACACACACACACACACACACACACACACACATCTTAGCGGTCCCCCTCTAGACTGACTAACAAAATCAATGGGCCTTGGAAAGAGGGGCGGATCTAACATGTTGTATGTTCTGTGTAGTTCTGCACGGTGGAAGGGTTCATCACTGCGTTGGTGGATGAGTTCCCCAGGGCTCTGAGAGGAAGAAGAGAACTCTTCATCGCTGCCGTCTGCCTGGTGTCTTACATCATCGGCCTGTCCAACATCACACAGGTACAGTACACACACGCACGCACGCACACACGCACGCACGCACGCACACACACACACACACACACACACACACACACAAACACACACACACACACACACCAGCCTCACAGGGGTACAGTAGCCTACATCCAATCCTCCACATTTCATAACTCTGTCTGTTATTCTGGACGGGGGCCCTAAGGGGCTAAATACTTTTAATAACTTGGTGACAGAGCGAACACACAGTCCAGTCCAGTCCAGTCCAGTCCAGTCCAGTCTAGTCCAGTCTAGTCCAGTCTAGTCCAGTTCAGTCATGTCCAGTCCAGTCTAGTCCAGTCCAGTCCAGTTCAGTCATGTCCAGTCCAGTCTAGTCCAGTCTAGTCCAGTTCAGTCATGTCCAGTCCAGTCTAGTCCAGTCCAGTCCAGTCATGTCCAGTCACATCCAGTCCAGTCCAGTCCAGTCCAGTCATGTCCAATCCAATCAAGTCCAGTTCACTCACGTTAGTCCAGTCCAGTAATGTCCATGCCCAGTCCAGTTCAGTCACATCTAGTCCAGTCCAGTCACGTCCATGCCCAGTCCAGTTCAGTCACATCTAGTCCAGTCCAGTCACGTCCATGCCCAGTCCAGTCACATCTAGTCCAGTTCAGTCACATCTAGTCCAGTCCAGTCACGTCCATGCCCAGTCCAGTCACATCTAGTCCAGTTCAGTCACATCTAGTCCAGTTCAGTCACGTCCATGCCCAGTCCAGTCACATCTAGTCCAGTTCAGTCACGTCCATGCCCAGTCCAGTTCAGTCACATCCATGCCCAGTCCAGTCCAGTCACGTCCATGCCCAGTCTAGTTCAGTCACGTCCATGCCTAGTCCAGTTCAGTCACATCTAGTCCAGTCCAGTCACGTCCATGTTAAGTCCAGTCCAGTATTTCCAAAGACAAGTTGGCATATCAGAATTCAAATAGCCTAATTACACCAGAAAATGAAATAATACAAGTATGGGGAATAACAGTAGTGTTCTTGCTGAGATAAGTGCATGAATTACTCTATATATTAGCCCATTGTAGGGGATGGGAATTGTTCTAATTGTATTGAACTAGGCAAGTCAGTTAAGAACAAATTCTTATTTACAATGACGGCCTACACCGGCCAAACCCGGACGACGCTGGGCCAATTGTGCGCCGCTCTATGGGACTCCCAATCACGGCCGGTTGTGATACAGCCTGGAATCGAACCAGGGGGTCTGTAGAGACGCCTCAAGCACTGAGATGCAGTGCCTTAGACCGCTGAGCCACTCGAGAGCCTGAGTTAGAATTAGACAGCTAATGACTATCAACTATTGTGAAAGACCAAATAAATGAAACAGATAAAATCTCCTGAATACAAGATGACATAGCCTAAATCTGCCCCCGCCCTACACCCAACCCAAATTTTATTTTACACATTTGGGTTCACAATCTGTTTGGGCAAAATAATGTTCATTGTTGCAGTGAGATAAATCACGTCACCCAGAATCCCTGCAGAATCCCTTTCCTTGTTACAGCCTAACGAACCTAGAGCTAATGACCAAAGGAGGTGAATAATGTCCTATGGATCTGGACTAATGCTAACAGGCTAATGCTAGTGGTGGGTTAAATCACTAGTAGCCCTAGTAGCCTGTAGCCTGTAATAATATGCTGCCGTAAGGAAGCGTTCTGCGACAGGGAAAGTGTGCGGTGGCAGTGTGGTGGCAGAGAAAGATGACGGATCTCCTGGGTGAAGCTGCCGCGGTCATGTGATGTAGAACGGAAGGCGCGTATGATTTTCAAAACGATTTGGAGGCACGGCTGAAAAGTGAACTCGCTGAATATTACACCAGATTAATTAGGAAATGAAAGCAGTACTTTTCAATGAGAGATAAGAGGTGTGCCGTGTCAAGAGGTTGTGTCTCATGGCCAACTGCATCCTGACATTGCTTCAGCTGAAAACCAGATTTAAACCAGAAAATGATGTCACTGTGATGTCCCATGCCCGATATTGTCAGCTACGATTGGTCTCCATGGTGTATAGGGAGATAAGCGAAAAGTGCTCCGTCATGTTTCGTTCACCTGAGGTAAATGGGTTCTGTTGTATTGTGATGTAATGGCAGTGTAGTTAACTAGATCTAATTCTTTATATCCTACTGATACGTACTTACGTACACTATCTTCATCTACTCTGTCGGTCTGTTATGACTAGGAATTCTGGGTAGTCTTTATGACTGGTGACAATTAGATCATTAATATCGAACCTTTACGTTCCGTGTTATCTCTCTTCAGTACAATATAATTTCTTTACAAGCTGTGTAGACATTCCTGTATCTGATCAGTTGATGTTATTTAGTCAGTCTACCACTTCACCCCCCCCCCCCCCCCCCCCCCTTTCCGAGGCCTTTCACAGGATCAAACCAGGGAAACGATGACGTCTTCTCAAGCTCCACATCCCACACTCTGAGGTCAATAACTCTCCTCCGAAACCTCTACTGATGTAGCGTGGCCACTGACAGGATCACTGAACGCTACCAGTCACCCCTCCAAGTCCCCCTGCTTGTATGGAACACTACCAGTAACCCCTCCAAGTCCCCCTGAACGCTCCCAGTCACCCCTCCAAGTCCCCCTGCTTGTATGGAACACTACCAGTCACCCCTCCAAGTCCCCCTGCTTGTATGGAACACTACCAGTCACCCCTCCAAGTCACCCTGCTTGTATGGAACACTACCAGTCACCCCTCCAAGTCCCCCTGAATGCTCCCAGTCACCCCTCCAAGTCCCCCTGCTTGTATGGAACACTACCAGTCACCCCTCCAAGTCCCCCTGCTTGTATGGAACGCTCCCAGTCACCCCTCCAAGTCCCCCTGCTTGTATGGAACACTACCAGTCACCCCTCCAAGTCCCCCTGCTTGTATGGAACACTACCAGTCACCCCTCCAAGTCCCCCTGCTTGTATGGAAAGCTCCCAGTCACCCCTCCAAGTCCCCCTGAACGCTCCCAGTCACCCCTCCAAGTCCCCCTGCTTGTATGGAACGCTCCCAGTCACCCCTCCAAGTCCCCCTGAACGCTCCCAGTCACCCCTCCAAGTCCCCCTGCTTGTATGGAATGCTCCCAGTCACCCCTCCAAGTCCCCCTGAACACTCCCAGTCACCCCTCCAAGTCCCCCTGCTTGTATGGAACACTCCCAGTCACCCCTCCAAGTCCCCCTGCTTGTATGGAACGCTACCAGTCACCCCTCCAAGTCTCCCTGCTTGTATGGAACGCTCCCAGTCACCCCTCCATGTCCCCCTGCTTGTATGGAATGCTCCCCACCACTCTCTACCCCTACTGCTGCACAGCACTATCACATCCGTCACTGGAGATTCATGTCTGCATCCCTCTTGGATTGAAAACAGTCGGCCTAATCGGTTGCTCAGCTCAGCTCTGCAGTACCAGTCTAGCGCTGCAGCTCCCTCCACCCTTCACTAGCCCTGAAACTCCCAGGGAGACAGACAGGCAGCTAGGGTCAACCAATCCCCCCCACCACTACCGGTGCTCTTACCCCTCACGTTATTCCACGTTACCAGTTTAATAGGCTACATCACATCTCAGTCGTTCTATCCTCTATCCCCCCCCCCCCCCCCCCCCATCACTCCCCGTCTTGCTGGTCTCGTTTGGCCTCTCTGTATCCAACACTCTCTCTCTGTCCCCCTCCTCGTCCAACAGGGTGGTCTATATGTGTTCAAGCTGTTTGACTACTACTCTGCCAGTGGCATGTGCCTGCTCTTCCTGGTCTTCTTCGAGTGCGTCTCCATATCCTGGTTCTACGGTGAGTCAGGGACATCACTTCCTCTCTGTGTGAGTCAGTTACCTCACTTCCTGTTAGAACTACGGTGACATCACTAACCTGACATTGATGACCTGATGTCTTCAGGCTGATGTGCAAAGGTGTTGGGGCCTGTTCAATTCAACAGCCTTCGTGCAAAAAATATTTGGGCCTGCTCAATGTAATAGTCTTTTGGGTAAAATATTTGGGTGTTGGGCTGCTGATACCAAATTCCATATCTGCTTCCAATGAGTGCAGGTACTTGTCTTCCATCACAGGACCTTTGACCTACAATGTCCTGTCTTGTTTCTTTAAGGAATACCTGGGATAGGATAAAGTAATCCTTCCACCCCCCCCCCCCCCCCCCCCCCCCCCCCCTTACCATTGTAAAGTGGTTATCCCACTGGCTATAAGGTGAATGCACCAATTTGTAAGTCGCTCTGGATAAGAGCGTCTGCTAAATGACGTAAATGTAAATGTTAAATGTATATGTTGCAGGTGCTGATAAGTTCCTTGCCAACATTGAGGAGATGATTGGCTTTAGGCCCTGCCTGTGGTGGAAACTGTGTTGGGTCGTCTTCACTCCTCTCATCGTGGCTGTGAGTACTCTCTCTTCCTCTCTCCCCCCCCTCTCCTGTGACTACTCTCTCTTCCTCTCTCCCCCCTCTCCTGTGAGTACTCTCTCTTCCTCTCTCCCCCCCCTCTCCTGTGACTACTCTCTCTTCCTCTCTCCCCCCCCTCTCCTGTGAGTACTCTCTCTTCCTCTCTCCCCCCCTCTACTGTGAGTACTCTCTCTTCTCTTCCTCTCCCCCCCCCCCTCTCCTGTTGACTTACTCTCCTCTTCCTCCTCCCCCCTCCCCTCTCCTGTGAGGTACGGCTCTCTCTTCCCTCTCTGCCCCCCCCTCTCCTGTGAGTACTCTCTCTCTCTCCTCTCCCCCCCCCTCTCCTGTGAGTACTCTCTTCTCTCCTCTCTCTGTCCTCTCATCCCCCCCCCTCCCTGTGACTACTCTCTCTTCCTCTCTCTCCCCCTCCCCTCTCCTGTGAGTACTCTCTCTTCCTCTCTCCCCTCCCCCCCTCCTGTGAGTACTCTTCTCTTCTCTCCCCCCCTCTCCCTGGTGAGTACTCTCCCTCTCTCCTCCCCCCCTCTCTGTGAGTACTCTCTCTTCCTCTCTCCCCTCCTCCCTGTGAGTACTCCCTTCCTCTCTCCCCCCCCCCTCTTCTGTGGAGTACTCTCTCTTCCTCTCTCCCCCCTCTCTCTGTGAGTACTCTCTCTCCTCTCTCCCCCCCCTCTCCTGTGAGTACTCTCTCTCCTCTCTCCCCCCCCTCTTCTGTGAGTACTCTCTCTTCCTCTCTCCCCTCCTCTCCTGTGAGTACTCTCTCTTCCTCTCTCCCTGAGCCTCTCTCTGAGGCTTATTTCCATTGTGGTCCATTGTGTTGTGACCAGGTTGTTCTTCTGTGTTCCAGGGAGTGTTCCTGTTCAGTGCTGTCCAGATGGTCCCTCTCACTATGAACAACTATGTGTTCCCCGCCTGGGGCCAGGGAGTGGGCTGGTGCATGGCCCTGTCCTCCATGCTCCTGATACCTGGATACATGGTCTACATGTTCCTCAACCTCAAGGGGGATTACAAAGAGGTAACGCATCACCTTCTGTTTTTCTCAATCACAGTGCCTTCAGAAAGTATTCACACCCCTGAGTCAATACAGGTTAGAATCACCTTTGGCAGTGATACAGCTGTGAGTCTTTCTGGGTAAGTCTCTAAGAGCCTTGCACTCCTCGATTGTACAATATTTGCACATTATTCAAGCCTATGTCAAGTTGGTTGTTAATCATTGCTAGACAGCCATTTTCATGTCTTGCCATAGATTTTCAAGCCGGCTAATAACTACGACACTCGGGAACATTCAATGTCATCTTGGAAAGCAACATTTGTCCTTGTGTTTTAGGTTATTGTCCAGCTGAAAGGTGAATTTGTCTCCCAGTGTCTGTTGGTGAGCAGACTGAACCAGGTTTTCCTCTAGTATTTTTCCTCTGCTTAGCTCTAATTCAGTTTATTCTAATAAACTCCCTTGCCGATGACAAGCATACCCATAACATGATGCAGTCAGTAATGTGTTGGATTTGCCCCAAACATTTCTTTGCAACATGTTTTGCAGCAGTACTTTAGTGCCTTATTGCAAACAGGATGCATGTTTTGGAATATTTGTATTCTGTACTTCCTTCTTTTCACTCTGTCGTTTAGGTTAGTATTGTGGAGTAACTACAATGTTGTTGATCCATCCTCAGTTTTCTCCTATCACAGCCATTAAACTCTGTACTTGTATGAAAGTCACTATTGGCCTCATGGTGAAATCCCTGAGAGGTTTCCTTTCTCTCAGGCAATTGAGTTAGAAAGGACGCCTTTATTTACATTTACATTTTAGTCATTTAGCAGACGCTCTTATCCAGAGCGACTTACAGGAGCAATTAGGGTTAAGTGCCTTGCTCAAGGGCACATCGACAGATATTTCACCTAGTCGGCTCGGGGATTAGAACCAGCGACCTTTCGGTTACTGGCACAACACTCTTAACCACTAAGCTACCTGCCGCCCTGGCATTCTTATCTTTGTAGTGACTGGGTATACAGTGGCTTGCGAAAGTATTCACCCCCCTTGGCATTTTTCCTATTTTATTGCCTTACAACCTGGAATTAAAATGCATTGTTGGGGGGTTTGTATCATTTGATTTACACAACATACCTACCACTTTGAAGATGCAAAATATGTTTTATTGTGAAACAAACAAGAAATAAGACAAAAAAAACAGAAAACTTGAGCGTGCATAGCTATTCCCCCCCCCCCACAAAGTCAATACTTTGTAGAGCCACCTTTTGCAGCAATTACAGCTGCAAGTCTCTTAGGGTATGTCTCTATAAGCTTGGAAAATCTATCCTCTGGGATTTTTGCCCATTCTTCAAGGCAAAACTGCTCCAGCTCCTTCAAGTTGGATGGGTTCCGCTGGTTTACAGCAATATTTAAGTCATACCACAGATTCTCAATAGGATTGAGGTCTGGGTTTTCACTAGGCCATTCCAAGACATTTAAATGTTTCCCCTTAAACCACTCAAGTGTTGCTTTAGCAGTGTGCTTAGGGTCATTGTCCTGCTGGAAGGTGAACCTCCGTCCCAGTCTCAAATCTCTGGAAGACTGAAACAGGTTTCCCTCAAGAATTTCCCTGTATTTAGCGCCATCCATCATTCCTTCAATTCTGACCAGTTTCCCAGTCCCTGCCGATGAAAAACATCCCCACAGCATGATGCTGCCACCACCTTGCTTCACTGTGGAGATGGTGTTCTCGGGGTGATGAGAGGTGTTGGGTTTGCGCCAGACATAGCGTTTACCTTGATGGCCAAAAAGCTACATTTTAGTCTCATCTGACCAGAGTACCTTCTTCCATTTGTTTGGGGAGTCTCCCACATGGCTTTTGATGAACACCAAACGTGTTTGCTTATTTTTTTCTTTAAGCAATGGCTTTGTCTGGCCACTCTTCCATAAAGCCCAGCTCTGTGGTGTGTACGGCTTAAAGTGGTCCTATCGACAGATACTCCAATCTCCACTGTGGAGCTTTGCAGCTCCTTCAGGGTTATCTTTGGTCTCTTTGTTGCCTCTCTGATTAATGCCCTCCTTGCCTGGTCCATGAGTTTTGGTGGGCAGCCCTCTCTTGGCAGGTTTGTTGTGGTGCCAAATTCTTTCCATTTCTTAATAATGCATTTAATGGTGCGGTGTGGGATGTTCAAAGTTTCAGATATTTTTTTATAACCCAACCCTGGTCTGTACTTCTCCACAACTTTGTCCCTGACCTGTTTGGAGAGCTCCTTGGTCTTCATGGTGCAGCTTGCTTGGTGGTGCCCCTTGCTTAGTGGTGTTGCAGACTCTGGGGCCTTTCAGAACAGGTGCATATATATATATACTGAGATCATGTGACAGATCATGTGACACTTAGATTGAGCACAGGTGGACTTTATTTAACTAATTATGTGACTTCTGAAGGTAATTGGTTGCACCAGATCTTATTTAGGGGCTTCATAGCAAAGGGGGTGAATACATATGCATGCATCACTTTTCCATTATTTATTTTTTTAGAATTCTTTGAAATAAGTTATTTTTTTCATTTCACTTCACCAATTTGGACTATTTTGTGTATGTCCATTACATGAAATCCAAATAAAAATCCATTTAAATTACAGGTTGTAATGCAACAAAAGGAAAAACGCCAAGGGGGATGAATATTTTTGCAAGGCAATGTATTGATACACCATCCAGTGTAATTAATAACTTCACCATGCTCAAAGGGATATTCAATGTCTGCTTTTTTTTATTTTTACCCATCTACCAATACATTTACATTACATTTACGTCATTTAGCAGACGCTCTTATCCAGAGCGACTTACAAATTGGTGCATTCACCTTATAGCCAGTGGCATAACCACTTTACAATATTTTTTATTATTATTTTTTTATTATTTTTTTTTTTGGGGGGGGGGGGTAGAAGGATTACTTTATCCTATCCCAGGTATTCCTTAAATAGGTGCCCTTCTTTGCGAAACATTGGAAAACGTCCATGGTCTTTGTGGTTGAATCTGTGTTTGAAATTCACTGCTCGACTGAGGGACCTCACAGATAATTTTATGTGTGGGGTACAGAGATGAGGTAGTCATTCAAAAAGCTTGTTAAACACTATTATTGCACACAGAGTGAGTCCATGCAATTTATTATGTGACTTTTTAAACCCATTTTTACTCCTGAATACTTTATTGACTCAAGACATTTCAGCTTTTCATATTTTATTAATTTGTAAATATGTCTAAAAACATAATTCCACTTTGAAATTATAGGGTATTGTGTGTAAACCAGTGACACAAAATCTAAATGTAACACAACAGAATGTGTTAAAAGTCAAGGGGTGTGAATACTTTCTGAAGGACTGCATATGCACATGCCTTTTATCCAAAGTGACTTACAGTCATGCGTGCCTACATTTTTTTACGTAAGGGTGGTCCCAGGAATCTAACCGACTATCCTGGCATTGCAAGAGCTCTCCTCACATACTATCTATTCAGAGTCGACCTCAAAAGGCGACCATTTTATGTCCACTAAAACAGCACAGCAACTCGCTACTCCCAACTCTTCCCAAGATAACCATAGCATGTGTCTCAGAAAGAGATCGGTCCGGAAAGGCCTGCAGCAGAGAGTTTGTCACAGGCCGTGGGGTTTTGTACAATTTTAAATAGATGGGATGGCACTTAATCCAAAATTAGTTTGGAATATTGCTCTTGGCGATTACTGTTTTTATCTTAATCCGCATAAATAATCGTTGTTTCTCACAGAATAAATGTTTGAGGACAGCAAATGTCGCCGATAATGTATTATGTTGCAAGACATTAGACATAGACAGACATAGACATGCACATGCACATACACAGAGACAGAGACAGAGACAGAGACAGAGACAGAGACAGAGAGAGAGACAAAGAGAGAGACAAAGAGAGAGAGACAAAGAGAGAGACAAAGAGAGAGAGAGAGAGAGAGAGAGAGAGAGAGAGAGGAGAGAGAGAGAGAGAGAGAGAGAGAGAGAGAGAGAGAGAGAGAGAGAGAGAGAGAGAGAGAGCTCATTACAAAATTATCTGTGACAACAGAGTGATCAAATTAAGACGCGTACGTACACATACACATAGACTTAGACGTTCAGTGGAGAAGGTCATAGAAAGGAGTGTGAGGCTGGTCGGTCCCGTGATGCTACATCCGTTGAGCTGCAGCTTGCAGTGAAAAGGACCAGTAATTGCTGGTTCTGGTGTTGTCAAGGATGGAGCGCTGCGGTCGTCACTGGCAACGAGATGAGCAGCTGTCCGCCCCTTTGTGTCAGTCGGTGCAGTCTTGATTGCCTAAATTGCAGCAATCAGTTCCTTGATTAGTGTGTGCCAAGCAGCAGACGGAAGGATTGATCTTACAGACACTGAGCCCGCTAGCTATCTAGTGCATGATACAATGTACAGCCAGCAATGTGAAAGCATAAAGATGTCAGCAGCCCTGATGATTTTTGTAACATATAATTTCCTTACGGCGTCTGCAGATAGCATGGCATTGTTGTAACTTACAGCCTAAAGATGTCAGCACAGCGGTCTGACGTATTTTGAATGTATCGTTCTCTTGCACAATGCAGCGTCTGCGGATAATGATTCAACCTCCGATGATGGTGAAAGGAGAACGCCAGGAGAACGGCCCTGAGCAGACACCGGCAGCAGCCGCTGAAGAGGCTTACATCTAAACCCTGTTCTGTTCGTCCCGTCTCCGAGGCCAACTCTCTGCAGAAAACAACGTAATCAAGGTGAAGCGCAACCAAGGGATGCATTCCAAATGGCACCCTATTCTATATATATAGTGCACTACTTTTGACCAGGACTACTACCTATATAGGCCCTGGTAAAAAGTAGTGCACTACATAGGAAATAGGGTGCCATTTGAGACGCAGGGAAGAACTTCCATGTCTGATATCTAATCACCTACCTCCAGGGGAAACATGTGACCAACCTGATTACAATTTACTTTTCTTTTTTTTTTGTTTATATATATATATTTTTTTGTTTGTTTGTCAAAAGAAAAACAAGAAAGACAAACTACCCAGCTGTTATTGTGGTAGTTTGTATTTCATTTGCAAAAATGTTAGTCTTTCTCAGATTGTTAGCTAGAAAATTACCATAATTTGAATTACAATTTACATTTGGAGGCCCAATGTAATTCAACACTACCGTGCTAATTTAAGATATTAACTTCATTAATGTATTTTTAAAAATGTTATTGTAAACAGAGCCGTCCGTAGCCGGGGTCTAATTTGTAGTGAGTCCGGACAGAGAAGGGGGTGCGGGGGGGGGGGGGGGGGGGGGGGGCTATCAAGAATGACTTCAGCCATTATCAAATTGGTTGCTGTAGCTTCATTCACCTCAGTGGATCTACAAACACATAGCCTGTTAGCTATACAATTAGCCACTACACATTAACTCACATTAACTCAGCACCGGGATTAAAAAATATAATCGAATACGTACAGAGGTATCTGATAGCAAAAAAAAAAAAATGTATTAACAAAAGGTCAACAAATAAGTTTGCTTTACAGAATATTTTTTTTTTGTGCAGTTTTACAGCTAATTATTTAACTGCAATTCTACACATGCCATGCAGTGGGGAGACATTTTTGCGGTTTTAAAGCTAATTTCCTGCAATTCTACACATTTTTGCCATGACTTATGCCATGTTAATATCATGTCTGAGTGAGAGTGACTAACCTGGGCACGTGCCCTGCGTGCCGGGTCGGTATTCAGCCAAGATCACGCCATGTTAATATTATATCTGAGTGAGAGAGACTAACCTGGGCACGTGCCCTGCGTGCCGGGTCGGTATTCAGTCTAGATAGATGGTTAGACTAACTAGACTAACTTACCAATCTAAAGATGTTTAACTGAAATGGGCTAATTGAGTGACTGTCACTAGGTAGGTTTCCATCCAATTGGCGACAGATTTTCATGCGAATATTCTAAAATCCACATACAGAAAATATGTGCATTTACCCACCAGTGGTGTGTTTCCACCAAACGGACTTGCTGCGGATAAAAATCAGTGCGTGAAGGAATAGTGCACACAAAATGTACTTTTTCGCTCAAGTTTTCATGTACCCGAATAAAAACCTAAAGTTCAGTGTTTCCATTGCATTTTCAACTCTGTCGATACTCTACCATTTCTCACATAATACGTTTTACAGACACAAAAACATCCCACCGCGTCGAACAAAGAAATGATCTGTCGGCATTTATTTAATTGTACCGAAACTTCCTGTTTCCATAACACCTGTCATTATTTTTTTTTTACATGGTAAGACTTTACTCACATAAAAACCATGGATGGAAATGTGGTTAGTGACACATAACAAGAGTTAAACTGCTGATGCACAACCAGGTTTAGAAATTGCACCTTGTGTATTCTACTATTCTAACACTCAACGGTATGTTCAGACCCCGACTAGAGTTTAAAAAATGAACAAAATAAACAAATAAAAATCAAATTCGAAATAATTATTGAGGTCCGGACCTCGGTGTCCTCATATGGCCCTGATTGTAAAAAGGAAATATATAAATTATAATCCATATGAAAGAAATACAGAAAAACAAATGCAATGTGTTAAGCAGGTAAATGAATGCAATATGAAAATTGCATAGTGGAATTGAATATTGACCATCTATAAGCAATGACCATTATGGGAAAGTGCAACCGGCAAGGCCAAATGTCCATATCTATGTATAATATTATCACTCCTGTCCCTGCAGTTCACCAATATTTTATTCTTACTTATTTTCCAGGTCAACGTTTAAAAAGCACAAGGCCTGTATGGATCTCAAACCATCTGGCATGACATGACTGAAGTACCTGTTACAAAACGCAGATTACCGTTAGTACGACAGACTGTTAAAATTGTCTCTTTGTTTTCTAAAGAACAATAACTTTGTATGTGTCTGAAACGTGTTTTTAGAATCCTTTGTAGGATGTTTTCTATGTAAGAGTGAGACGGACCAAAATCACACGCATGTGAAAAGGGATTAGCACAAACACAAACGACATGTGACACGCCTAGATTACTCAAACCGAAATGAGACGCATCCCTCCCATCCCGTCACTGCAGAGAACAGGGTACAATAAGCATTATTATCACAGAAGTAGCATTTGAGATTGCCTGACAACTCCCATATGTACTGTTTACTGCAATCCTGTTTACCACATTTAGTGTCCCACTCCTCAGGAAGAGCCTTGAAAATGACCAAATGATCTGCTGAAACTACCACGGTGAGAGCTGTGAACGAAGGCTTTCCTTCCTTCCACTGGTCAGTCAGTTAGTCAGTCATTCTAGTCGAAGCCAGAGCCATGTATTTAGAGAGATTAGGTTTTTGCATGATGATGCATTTACAAGCCACTACAGCATTCTATGGCAGCCATGTTAGCTCCCCATTAACATGACACTACAACATTCTATGGCAGCCATGTTAGGTCCCCATTAACATTACACTACAACATTCTATGGCAGCCATGTTAGGTCCCCATTAAAACATTACACTACAACATTCTATGGCAGCCATGTTAGGTCCCCATTAAAACATTACAATACAACATTCTATGGCAGCCATGTTAGGTCCCCATTAACATGACACTACAACATTCTATGGCAGCCATGTTAGGTCCCCATTAACATTACACTACAACATTCTATGGCAGCCATGTTAGGTCCCCATTAATACATTACACTACAACATTCTATGGCAGCCATGTTAGGTCCCCATTAACATGACACTACAACATTCTATGGCAGCCATGTTAGGTCCCCATTAACATTACACTACAGCATTCTATGGCAGCCATGTTAGCTCCCCATTAACATTACACTACAACATTCTATGGCAGCCATGTTAGCTCCCCATTAACATTACACTACAGCATTCTATGGCAGCCATGTTAGGTCCCCATTAACATTACACTACAACATTCTATGGCAGCCATGTTAGCCCCCCATTAACATTACACTACAACATTCTATGGCAGCCATGTTAGCTTCTCCATTAACATTACACTACAACATTCTATGGCAGCCATGTTAGCTTCCCTATTAACATTACATGGGGAATATTTAAATAATGCTATCTAACAGAATATCTAGAATTAGAACAATGTTGACAATTCTAAAAATTGGCCCAACTCTTTAAATCTATGGCTCTGGTAACAGCCTAGTCTGTTGTTATGACTGTGAAGGTTTCCAATGTCAGGATCTGAGAGAGAAACCTTATAGATGGACCACAGCCTAACCTGCTCTGGTAACAGCCTAGTCTGTTGTTATGACTGTGAAGGTTTCCAATGTCAGGATCTGAGAGAGAAACCTTACAGACGGACCACAGCCTAACCTGCTCTGGTAACAGCCTAGTCTGTTGTTATGACTGTGAAGGTTTCCAATGTCAGGATCTGAGAGAGAAACCTTATAGATGGACCACAGCCTAACCTGGCCAGAAACCAATAACAGGCCAATATTATTACTGAAAATATACCTTGTTTTTTAATTGAAAGACGAAACATATGAATTATCAAGTTGTTTGGCAATATATATATATATATATATATATAGGAATATATGAATATATACAGTATATATAAATATATTTAGTCTGATTATATATTAATTCCACAAATTATCAAAGTTGTATTTCTATAAGTATAAAGCTAGTTTGCTCCCATGGCAGCTACAAGTGACAGGGATCTGGTTTAAATTAGTCATTTTATTGTCGGCAAAGATTATATAAATAAAATGTGCAATGAATAAGGGTTCTATGAATTTTGTATAAAGTTACCATACTGCAGTTTTCTGTCTTAAATGATGTTGTAAAACTCTACTGTGTAATACATGTAACTGTGAACGTCCGCATGACCTGATCTTCATGTCTAAATGTTGAAAAATCCATTTTTCTGCAATAATACGATTATCTCAGAAACTAAAGAACATACAGTATCTTTCTGAAATGTAAACATAATAAATTACAATAATGATAATAGAATAATAATGAAATAAAATATATACACACTATCTAGTCAAATAATCTTGTTTTGTATATTTCTAACTGTTTCATGGGCCTAATGTAAAATATTCTATAATGTAAAATATATAATAAATGTCTTTAGATGGTGTTAAATGAAAAAGCATGATTGTCGTATATATGTTATCTGCAGAAGTAAATAAAGAACTATAGATTATAACGTTTTGCTTTTCATCATGTCTATAGTTGGGGGGAAAAATATTGTCTTTTCGTTTTTTAGATTAACGATTTTAGTAAATTATCTAAATCACATTTCAAATTGTATTAGATATTGTATTACAGAGGTTGAGTAGATATCATTTTATACACCAGTAACATTATTTTTGACATGACACTGAGACTCGTGGACAGTGTAGTAGATCCATTGCAGAATAAATGGACAATGGGATTCTTCTACAGCGTGAGTTTGATGGAATCCTTTGATGCATATTATACATGTGATTCATAGTGGTAGTATCTTTCCTTTGAATAACGAAGTTGTTCTTAATCATTAAATCATTTTAAGGGATCACTACATTTACCTGGGGACATGGACAGATATTGTAAAGACTTGCTTTAACGTCTGATTTAAAAAAAAGAAACTTAAACTTAGTGAGAGAGAAAGATAAAAATGTCATAATGATCTGGTGCACGGAAACGTCACGTTACAGGAAATCTTGTTTGCACCATTGCATGACTCTCGGTCACTAGAATGCACACATCTCAAATGCTAATGACTTCATGTCACATATTAACGCATTACCAGTCTCTAATCTCTCTGTGCTGTGAAGGGAGTGAGAGT